TAAATCTAACAGTTTTTTTCCTACTAACAATATCTATGTGTATATATATATATATATATATATACACATTTTTTCTGTGGTACACCATATGTACATTTTCATAAAAAGTTTTATAATTACTTCCATCAAGAAAAATTGGTACTCTAGGAAAAAAATGCCATATTTTTCTTTCAAGTTTCTATCCATCTAACACTTCATTGCGTAGCCGAATGGAGGCACCAAGTTTGAAAATAATTAAATGACCAGCCATGTAATTGAGGTTTATTTGGGTAGAAAAACTAGACTAAAGACCTTTCATGCATGAATCCATTTAACTCACACAAAAATAACTGAGACATCATCCTTCACAATATGTTTATATAAAATATCCGATGGATGGCTTATCACATAACAGCGTTAACAGACTGTGTTGTTTGATAAGACAGTAAGTTTGAAATGCTCCAGATTACAGAGGGTATGTTACTGACTTCCTGTTTCCCCAAAGTTAGGAAGTAGTGGCCGAGGGGAAATGGGAGATAAATCATGACATCCAGTGGGTGGAAAAGCAGAAAGTTTTAAGGATGAAAATTTCAGCCGATGAATCCGTAAGTACCATATTTCTGATTGAAATGTTTCTGGTGAAACTAGAAAACTCCTTTTATGTTAAAATTTAATAAAGTTCATGCTATCATTTAACCGTTTACTCGAAATAGTAGGATGAATTTGAATAAAAGAGCATTTGGAAAGTTTTTCAGAAGAGATAATTCATGGAAATATCATTTATCTGCCTGAGCACATTAGCTTAGAAATATATGATTTTTAAAAACTACATTCTTTTCACCATTCACACATTGTTTCCTCTGCACTACACAGATTCTATCAATTTACACGGAACTAAATAGTAGAATAAATTTACCCTTCTAATTATCAATGAAAGCTCATAGCTATCCTGGGATTAAAGGAGGTCACCTCTTACCATCTCTATATTACTGTGGCAGACCAGCTGCAGTGGATGTAGGGTCGGAAGGGGAGAGGTCCTGGGCTGGGGATGAGAAAAGAACCTTCACAAGCAATGTTCAGGTTCCCTCTGATAAGTCTCAGGGTCTACTTTATTTTTATATCTTTAAGCAATAGCTGGGAGGCATTGGGCGGAACATGTTTACATTTTACGTTGCCTTAGCAATTTTCTATTGAAGTAAAGGTTATTTTTTGCTAAACAACGTACAATTCCTCTAAGCTGTTTCATTTCATTGAACATCACGAATATATATTTAAAAATTACAATTGTCCCCTTATTTACCCACACCTAAACAGAACAGAAAGTAACTTAATCAAAATCTTTATATCAGTGGGGGTACAAGCAAGATTTAATCAACTAAGTGTCAAACTTGTGGTCTCTAGCTGGCCCTTGAGAAACTGCACAATGGTTAATATAGTTTGCTATTAGGTCTCCATTTTTCTTTACCTCTATTCATCTTAACTAAATGCCATTTGGGTTCATTGTCCATGAGCAGGAGATATTTACATCACTTTGAGAAATATTGAGTAATTTGTCTCCTTAATGCATTTACCTGTCTTAACGTTCTTTCTATTTCCCATTTTCCACTATTTCTTTTATCCAAAGTCTGTCTTTCCGATCTTTTCATAAGACCCCTTTAGTAAATAGAATGTCAACAATAAGAGGGGTAGTTATAGTAGTGGGGAAACAGAGGGGGTTTTAGGAGAGGTTTCTTTAGAAGTGGAGGTGGCAATAGAACTAAGAGAAACTGGAACTTGGGACTTGTGAGCCAGATCAGATTTCAATACGTCATTGCCAATTTGCCTCATGGAGAGTTTGTTGTTAGTCACAAACACAATGACTCCTGTGACCAGAGTAACAATTGTAAACATTATGGCAAGAAAAAATAAAACATGAGGGTGCGATGTGTTCCACCCTTTCTTTCCCCCAGCTGGAACCTTGTCAAGCAGCAATGGAGGTCGGTTGGGCTTCGCCACATTACCAGTGTGAACTTGGCAGCCCTGAGAACTGAAGACTATGTTTAAGGTCATTAATTAACAAATGAGGAAGATTGTGCTGAAATAATTTGATCATGACTTAAGTTTGATAGAGAATTAGGAATTCTTTAGTTTGCTAAATAGCATAGCAGATGTGTGAAATTTAAGGAAAGATTATGTCAATGCAATTACATCTGGGAAAAATTTACAGATGTGGTCAGAGATACTAGTATTTGATTATTTTTTCTCCAAAGCTAATGGTAATGGGCACTTGGTGAACATATCTGTTCCTCATCTGAGGGACACTGGATTGTAAATATTGACCATTTACAGGGGAAGAAGATAATTTTGTTCAAAGGTATTCAAGTAATATATTTCCTAGTACAGTGAGATTCTCTATAACTTTTTCCAATCTATTTTTGAATGACCTAATTTATTTCCACCAATTTGTCAATGAGCAAAAACAGTTTTCCAGGGACTCTGTGAACTGTTCCTTCTCCAGTGTAATAGGACATGTTTTTTCCTCCCCAAACAAACTCATGAAGGGATAAAGATATTCAAATAATAATAAACAAATAAGTAAATACATAAATAACAAAATATGTTTCTCTATCAGATAATTAGGTGACTTAAGCTTCTTTGAAGAGATCATATTTAAGGAGACAGCACAAAGCCATTTGGGATGGGGGGACACGGGGTCCCCTAAGTTCTGTGTGGTGAGATCTGGTCTTGGAGAAAGCTACTGTAGCTGAACCCAAAAGACAGAAGGAAAAAGAATACAGGATGAGGTTTGGAAAGGAAGAAGGGGAAAACTATCAATTTTGATTGCCATATCCATTGCACTAATTTCCTCAGTCTCCTGTAACAAAGTACCACAAACTGGGTAACTGCAATGACAGAGAGGAATTTTTGCCACAATTATGGAAGATACAAGCTGAAGTCAAAGTGTCTGCAAAGTTGATTCATTCTGAGGACTCTGAGGAATGATAATGCCAGGGCTCTCTCCTAATTCCTCACGGCAGCTGGAAAACTTGGTCTTCCTTGGCTTGTGTGTGAATGCCTCTAGTTTCTGCCTTTGTCTGCTCGAGGTATCCTCCTCTGCACAGTTCTGTGTTTTCCCTTGGCAATCTTCTCATGAGTACACCAGTCAGTTTGAATTGGGTCCTCACCTTTCTCCAGAAGGTCCTCAACCATGCACATGTGAAATGTATCAATTTTAAATTTCTCACATGCTGAGGTACGGAGGATCAGGGTTTCAATCTATCTTCCTTTGGGGAACACAATTCAACCAGTAACAAGCATATTAAAGGATTTCTATTCAGCATACAATCAAACAGAAATCACCAAAAGTGTTTATCTATCCTTCTGGCCATTGTTTGAAGTTAAAAGTTAAGAGAAGGAAAAGCAAGCAAACTAGCAAGCTCCAGCAAATATATTAGGGAGTGAGAAATAACAGTGGCTTAAACTAAGATAAAATTTACTGGAGATAGAAAGAAACAGATACATTTAACAAGAATATTGTAAGATCAGAAATGGATTTCAGGATAGCAGCAAATCAAGGAATCATTATGGACTTGTTAAGCCTGGCATGTCACTGAGACACCAAAGGAAAAGTGAAAGCAGAAGTTGTCCATATAGGAGTTGCATCAAAAGAGAGGCTGCAATTTAACTTTCAGATCCTAAAAGCAAAGATCTATATACGAGTGTGAGGTCTTATAAAGAAAATACAGGAAGGAGAATTGAAAAGGGTCCCAGATTGAAAACAACCCAGGGAGAGCAATTGGGTTAGAAAAATAGGACTGTACCCAGGTAAAGAGAGGTAAAGAAAAAAGAAAGAGATGTGAAAATATTAACAAGAGTTAGAGAAAGAGATTGTATAAATCAAGAGAAAAATATTTCAAGAAAAGAGACTTGACATGTGTCTAGTGAAAATGAGGTTAATGTACAATGAGAACCCAAATAGCAGAACACGGCCATGTAGATTCCACTTACAGTTTAAGAATCAAGTATCACATTTCCCCTGCATATTTTCAAATACAGGAGGTAAAGAGAGACGTGCAAATAAAGTTTTACATTGTAGACTAACTCAGGCTGATTCTGATCATGGCACAGTCACATGTCAAAATCATGAATTGATGGAGTGGAAATAATGTAGGTCTGAATAGATAAACCCAGTCTCTTTAAGACTTTGAATGGTATCACCCTGAGTTCTGCAAATCTCCAGACATATTTTGTAGGAATAATTCAGGATAGTTACTTTGTATGCTTTTGTATAGGAATTATCTGCATGTATTTCCTGATTTTCAGAAATCATCAAGAAATTTTTGAACAGTTTCACCATTAATTTTTGATAAAATAGCCTAATATGGATTATAATATTCAGATGACATCACAGATTTTGTTACATTTTTCTTCTTATAGTTGCTTATCCTCTGCTTCTCCCTTTGCGGGGTTTAAGAAGAGTAAAAAAGTGTGGTTTAAAAGAATACTCAATGGTGCTTGTGGGTGGGAGTGCACTGAGTGGATTTGGCCTTTCTGGCAATGCAGCGGCTCCCGGAGTCGGAGCCAATGCCTAGACACCAGAATTAGCTTTAGCAGAAGAGAAATGGAGGAGCCATAGAAGGTAAGGATGAATTCAGGAAGGCCTGAGACCATGGAAAACTTGCCTGATCTCTACAGTATTTTCCAAGGAGAAGTTGCTATGGTGACAGACTATGGAGCCTTTATCAAAATCTCAGGCTGTCGAAAGCAATGTCTGGTCCACCGAACTCATATGTCATCTTGTCGGGTGGATAAGCCCTCTGAGATAGTAGATATTGGAGACAAAATGTGGGTGAAGCTTATTGGCCGAGAGATGAAAAATGATAGGATAAAAGTATCCCTCTCCATGAAAGTTGTAAACCAAGGGACTGGGAAAGACCTCAATCCCAACAACGTAATTATTGAGGAAGAAGAGAGGAGGAGGCAGTCCTTCCAGGATTACACTGGGCAGAAGATCACCCTTGAGGCTGTCCTTAACACTACCTGCAAGAAGTGGGGCTGTAAAGGCCTATTTGCAAAAGACTGTTTCATGCAACCAGGTGGGACCAAATATTCTCTGATACCTGATGAGGAAGAGAAGAAAGAAGAGGCAAAGTCAGCAGAATTTGAGAAGCCTAATCCCACAAGAAATTCATCCAGAAAAAGAAAGAAGGAAAAGGAGAAAAAGAAACATAGAGGTAAGAAGTCATCTGGCTCTGACAGCTCAGACTCAGAGTGATACTGGCAAAAGGGTAAGGCACACATCAAAAGACAGCAAGGCACCAAAGAAGAAGAAAAAGAAAAAGAAGCATAAGAAGAAACACAAGGAGTGAGAGTAGAAGAGAGTGGAGGTGGGTGGGTGAAGGAATATGGATCCAGGAGCTTTGCGCATTGAAGCCCTGGGCCCTGGAGAGAGTCAGTGGTGAGAATCTGGCCCGCCACCCCCAATGACTTCACTCCTCTGGGAGATGGTTTCCTCTCATGCAGTAGGCAAGTTTGGGAGTTGAGGTCAAAAGCAGCTGCCTGAATGAGTTGTTTCTTTATTGCACCTGACCCCTTTGCAAGTGACCCCTGCAACCCACCCACTCATTCACCCATCTTCCTTCACTCAGCAGGTGGTCCTTTTACCCAGCTGCCACTGCCAGAGCTGGATTCCTTTGCAGGGATCTGGGCTAAAGCCACAGGAGCTGCTGTGGAGCTGAGCTCGGCTGAAGTTGAACGAATGATTCCCCTTCCTATTAGACTGTCTTGGGCCAGTTCAGTTGGCTCTCGGTCTCTGCTGCAGACACACAGGAGCAGAGGGAAAGGGGTAGTAGGAGGGAGAGTGTGGTGAGAAGTGATGCTCACTTTTTACATTCCTTCAACATGGTTCTACTGTGCTAGAAGTGACAGCCAGTGGCCACAGTCAGAAAACGATCATTTGCAGTGTGACTCATTTTGTGCATGACATTCCACCGGACCACTGAACCAGACATCTAAGGCCAAGATCATTGCTGTACTTTCTATGTATTACTGTGAGAGTCTACTGGTTCTACTTCATCTCTGCTTAAATCCCTGGCACTGAAAAAAAAAAAAAAGAATACTCAGTGGTGTGACTACAGCCAATACCAGAAAAAATGCCATTCTGGAATCATTAATATTCATTTTCTAAAACAGATCAGAGAAACTAGAAACAGAACAAATAAATACCTCTGCCCTGGTGTCTTTTAGCTTTATGCAATATCTTTATAATCTCAAGTACATTTTCATAACATTTAAGGCCATAAAATTCTGATGAAGACAAGACACTTAGCTTTTCATAAATCCTAATTCTTTCCACACTTCCATTTATTGGACTCACCCGGCAGTACAATATTTTTCTCTCTGTCCAAAGACTTGTCTACCTGCTGTTAAGAATTGGACAAGATTTACTGATCTGGCTGCCTACTGGTGTGGTCTCTTTAAGTGGTGAATATAAATCTTTAAATCAGGCAGCCTAGAACGACTGTACTTTTTCTTAGTATTTTATCCATGAATAAAAAGAGAAGGTAATTTAGAGCATATTATGGAGATGTAGAAGATCCTGTTTCTTTCTGTTTAAATTCAATCCCAACACTTTTGGAGAATGCCCTTTGTTCACTATGAGTCGATATTAGCATTTTCTAGAAATATAAATTTAGAAGAAAGAAAAGATCTATTCCTCAATGAAGATAGAAATGTTGATGGGGATATTCAAATTCAAAAAAGTGATGAAAAGTTTGAGACCGTTTTTCTGACCAACACCCTCTCCTCCAATCTCCAGTGAATAGACACAATTAAAACTAGTGTTATTTGACTGTCTACCTTTGTCGCTTCAGTTGTGATTGTGTCAAGTGAATCATTAAGAACACGGCAGAGCTAAAGCTTCTCAGGAATTGCTGAACAGCTGGTCATCCAGGACAGTGAGTTGTAAAACTACATTTATTTTTTTCCAATTTAATAATAATATTTTCCTTTTGATTCTCACACTTTCTCTTCCCAGCCCCATCCCCTCTCTTCTTTGTCATTTCAATTAAGTGTACATTACATATTATGATAAATTAAATTACGATGGAGTACATGTTGCTTCTTGCTCTATCATGAAATAAATATTGCTAAGTTTTAGCATGAATTTTTCTAAGACTCCAAGATTTCAAATATACTAAGAAAAATATTAGCATATTCATATATCTTTCAAGTGTAAAACTACTAGGTACTAGAAATGCAAAAATACCGAGTTATATGAACTTTTGTGTACAAGTTTGGAAGTTGAATCCTATTTCTGTCATTGGCTACCTTTATGTTCAAGGGAATCAGCAACCAATTTCACCAGAAGAGCCTCCTACGAACCTCAACACTAAGAGCTTTAAGAACCTCATTAAAGGTAGTTGGAATATTTAAAGGAAATATTATAGGTGGATGTGCCTTCATATTAGTAGGTAGTTCATTAACGTGAGAGTTTTTTTATCAAGAAAAATCTTCAGAAAGATATAATGCTAGCATACATTGTTATGTATCATAAAATCTTCCTGAAGAGGAGAGCCTCCTATTCATAAATAACATAATTATTGTGCTATTGCTGATTTCTTTACATTATTCCTTTTATATCATTGGTATTTGTGTCCACAGCTAAGATGAATTTATATTATTGAGAAATGTTTTTTAAAATGCTTTCCAAAGGATTATATCAATTCAAAATACTACCCACAAGTAAATTAGCAAAATCTATTTAATAAAGTCTTTGCTGTTACTTAACACACTGTTATTTTACTATTTAATTTTATATTTTTGCAGTGCTGGAGTTTCACCCCAGGGCCTTGCTCATTTTAGATGAATGCTTTACCTTGTGGTCTTCTCTATATTCTTCTATTAATTTTGCAGAAGTGTTGCTCTTTCCATTCAAGTGTGTCTCATTTTGAGTTAATTTTTGCAAAGGGTGCAAGAGCAAGAATTCTATCTAGATTAAAAAATTTTTTGGCATGAAAATGTCAGGTTCTCAAAAAGACTATCTTTTTGTCATTGAATTGGTTTTATCCTTTTGTCAAAAATCAGTTGACCGTTTTATGGGGATAAATTTCCAGGCTGCATATTTTGTTTCATTGATCTTTCTGTTTATGGTTTTGGCAAGATCACACTGTCTTGATTACTGCAGCTGTATAGCACAACTTGAGTTGAGTATCGTTCCTCTGAGTTTCTTCTCTTTCAATGTTGTGCTGACTACTTCTCTATTTCTATTGTTTCAGCATTAAAACTAGAATCAGTTTAGTGATATAGACAAAATAACTTGCTGTACTTTTGTTAGTATTGCATTGCATCCTGTTGGGGAGAGCAGAAATCTATAAAGCATTGAGGTTTTTCTTTTCATTAACTCAGCTCTTTTTTATTTTATTCATCAGAGTTCTGTGGCTTCCCTTGAATAGATTTTACACATATTTTGTCAGTTGTATATCTCTAAATATGAACTTTTTTTTTTTTTGGTACTGGGAAATGCATCCAGTGCCTTCACACTGGGCTACATCCTCAGCCAGTTTTCAATTTTTATGTTGAGACAATGTCTTGTTACATTGCAAAGGTTAAACTCCAGCCTGTGATTCTACTGCCTTAGTCTCTCTGAGTACTGGAATTACAAGTATGAATCACCATGCCTGAGTGGTAATGTGTTTTTAATTTCAAGTTCTTACTCATTAATGATATATATGAAACCAATCCTCTTTTGTATATTAACCTTATATCCTGCTACCTTGCTGTAATTGCTTATTAATTTCAAGATTTCTTTCATTGATTATTTTGCTTTTGTTACGTACATCAGTATGTCAGCTCTGAACAAAAGTAACTTTATTCATCCCCCATATACGTTACTCCCTTTTCTTTATTACTTTTAAAGATACACTTTATTATTTACTTCTTTTATTGATTATACACTTCTACATGCATTGGATTAGCCAGATATTTCCAGTAAAGTGTTGAAATGGAGTGGTAACTAGGGACATTAGTACATTGTCCCTACAAGATCAGGAAAATGTCTATTTTCAGCAAGTATGATATTAGTCATTTTTGTAAACATTTTGTCCATTTGAAAATGTTTTGTTCTCTTTCTAGCTTACTAAGAGCAAACTCTTTTACAACAACAAAATTTTCATATCCTTTTTGTTGACCACATACTTCATTTAGAAAAGTGCCAACTAGATTTTTGATTCTCAATAAAATGGAGGCTAAATATTTCAATTATAATATTCTGTTTCACAGATATAAAAATTGTTTCTGATTGAGCATACTGGCTTTTCCATTCTTATCATCGCTATTACAATCAGGGTTTGCTATACTGTTTGAATGATTGTGATATATTCTGGGATGGCTGGTTTGCAATTTGGCCTTTTTTATCTGGGTTTACCTCTATATTTTAGGCGACAAAAGTTTGGGAATGTTAATTCCCAGGATCTTTGCCAAGAGATCATAATGTAGTTTACAAATAACCTCATAGCAAAGAGAGCTTTCATTTGAACTTACAGAAATAGATAACTTTTATCACTGATATTTTTCAATACAATTTTCTAGTTTGTTTTTATGATCCAGGTTTCAGTTCAAATAACTTGAGTATTTCAAATATATGTTATATGCAATTAATATTTTAAATTTATATCTAATATATGCAGTCACAATATTTTAGATTTATTAAAAGAAGCACATCAAATATTTTTCTACTGTTAATAATTATAATGCTCTGCTGATGATTAACAATTCTTATGGATTTATTCCAAATTGAATACTTTAGATTTGGTCATTTTTTGACCATTTCTCTCTTTTTTGACCATTTCTTTATGAGGCATCTTCCAACACAGCCATATTTTTCTCTTATTCAGTACGGTCAACTATTGGCAAAACTCACTAGTTACTCCCTTCCCATTACTGTGCCCCTATACAATGTGACTGTAGCTCCTCCCATCTAGCAGGAAACTGAGATTCTTAGCCTTAGAATCTGAGAATAGATTGTTAAATTCCTTAACAAATTGATGTTGTGTAAATTTCTCCTTGGAGGGCCTTGTCTATTCTGTTCTCTCTCTCAGAACACTTTCTACCCACTGAGGGGATATGTGTAAGCTAGGGAACTAGACAATGACAGAACCCAGAGACTTCAACCCATCAGCCCAGTCATCCCAGCCAGACAGCTCAAATGTTAAGGAACCCAGAGAAGTCCCAGAAAGCCACCTGTCTACCCTGCAAGAGAGAGCACAGCCAAGAGCAGATGGACTGCCCAGTAGAACTTGCTACATTGCAATTCCTTAATTGCATTAAGTAGTTGGATGATTGTGATTTTATTTTGAGGGGGGGTTAATTTTTTAAAATTTATATATATATTTATTGGTACTTTTTAGGTATAAAATAGGTTTACATTTATCATTGGGTGTTTGTACTAGAATATGATGTATCTTAGTTTTTATTTTTTCTCCCATTACCTGTGCACCCTTTACCCCTCCACCCTTCCCTATTTACACAGAGTTTGATTCCATTTTTTTTCTTTCTCATACTTTTTACTTTCCCTTCTTCCCTT